AATCCAAAAGGAGAGCTCCGCTTGGACACGTCCTAGCTGTGCTGCGACAAGCAGTGATGTGAAGATGACCTTAGTTGTCATCAAGGTCACAGGACAGCGACGGAAGGCCACTGATTGGGACTTGAGAACAACAACTTTATTTCTTCACCCAGGACCTTCGCAGCGCTGTCCTTCTAGTTGTCGTAAGTAACAGTGAATGCATTAAGGAGTAATGCAGGATAAGTAAAAAATATTACAATTAATTAACATATTTTTTGCATTAAAACGATTTATATTTCACATTTACCAAGTGTTCTATTTACATAACAAAAACACCATGGCTTATGCCCCTTGCAATATGACGTCATTGGTGCCAATTGATAAACATTATGACGTCATCATGCTTTGTTAGAGCCGCTTCACGTGGTGTAGGTACAGGTGTGTGATTCTAGCGTCTCAGATGCCAGCCAGCATAGTGTTATGCTGAGTCACCACTGCGCCGGAGTGTGTCGTAGGCCATGTTGTTTTACCGCAAACTGGTACTTGATATCTTTGCGTTGAGAATAGACCCAGTTGAATTGGCACCAATTACGTCATTATCTAAGGGGGATAACTCAGGTCTGTTTAGCTCGAAAAACGAAGGCCTCCTAACGGCATATCATTTTCACAATATTGTGAGCTTCCTACTTTCACTGTGGAAAAAGTGAGTGTATGTTTTCATACACAGATACTAACTAATTCTAAAATTGCGTTTTGTTTAGAAAAAGAAAGAAAGTGATTTTTGCGTGTACACTTCCCCTGTAACAGTAAAAGGTTAGTCGGCTGCCCCCAGGCTGTGCTGTGTCATGTGACTGTCATGTGACTGTCATGTGACTGTCACATGCACAAAACTAGCTCCAATATTCAGTCTTGCCAATGTTGGCCAAGGTCGAACAGAGTGGTCCTTGACGTAGGACTGGAGACCATCTAAACCAGACCATTGCACGAGTACCCGTCAGCCGAGTGGTCCTTGATGTAAGACTGCAGTGCGTCTAACCCAGACCACTGCATGAGTACCCATCAGCCGAGTGGTCCTAGACGAAGGACTGGAGTCCATCTGAAGCAGACCATTGCACGAGTACCCGTCAGCCGAGTGTTCCTAGACGTAGGACTGGAGACCATCTGAAGCAGACCCAGGCTTGAGTTCCTGTCAGCCCAATGGTCCTTGACATTAGACTCAAGTCCATCTGAACCAGACCATTGCATGAGTACCCATCAGCCGAGTGGTCCTAGACGAAGGACTGGAGTCCATCTGAAGCAGACCATTGTACGACTACTCGTCAGCCGAGTGGTCCTAGACGAAGGACTGGAGTCCATCTGAACCAGACCATTGCACGAGTACCCATCAGCCGAGTGGTCCTAGACGAAGGACTGGAGTCCATCTGAAGCAGACCATTGCACGTGTACCTGTCAGCCGAGTGGTCCTAGGCGAAGGACTGGAGTCCATCTGAACCAGACCATTGCACGAGTACCCGTCAGCTGAGTGGTCCTTGATGTAAGACTGGAGTGCGTCTAACCCAGACCACTGCACGAGTACCCGTCAGCCGAGTGGTCCTTGACGAAGGACTGGAATCCATCAGAACCAGACCATTGCACGAGTACCCGTCAGACGAGTGGTCCTTGACATAGGACTGGAGTCCATCTGAACCAGACCACTGCACAGGTACCCATCAGCTGAGTGGTCCTTGACATAGGACTGGAGTCCATCTAACCCAGACCACTGCACGAGTACCCGTCAGCCGAGTGGTCCTTGACTTACCACTGGAGTCCATCTGAACCAGACCATTGCACGAGTACCTGTCAGCCAAGTGGTCCTAGGCGAAGGACTGGAGTCCATCTAAACCAGACCATTGCACGAGTACCTGTCAGCCGAGTGGTTCTTGCATAGGATTGGAGTCTGTCTGAACCAGACCACTGCACGAGTACCCGTCAGCCGAGTGGTCCTTGACGTAGGATTGGAGTCCGTCTGAACCAGACCACTGCACGAGTACCTGTCAGCCGAGTGGTCCTAGACGTAGGACTGGAGTCCATCTAAACCAGACAGCTGCACGAGTACCCGTCAGCCGAGTGGTCCTAGACGTAAGACTGGAGTCCATCTGAACCAGACCACTGCACGAGTACCCGTCAGTCGAGTGGTCCGAGACGTAGGACTCGAGTCCATCTGAACCAGACCATTGCACGAGTACCCGTCAGCCGAGTGGTTCTTGATGTAAGACTGGAATCCATCTAAACCAGACCACTGCACGAGTACCCGTCAGCCGAGTAGTCCTTGATGTAGGACTGGAGTCCATCTGAACCAGACCACTGCATGAGTTACTATCAGCTGAGTGGTCCTTGACATAGGACTGGACTGCGTCTAACCCAGACCACTGCACGAGTACCCGTCAGCCGAGTGGTCCTTGACTTACCACTGGAGTCCATCTGAACCAGACCATTGCACGAGTACCTGTCAGCCAAGTGGTCCTAGGCGAAGGACCGGAGTCCATCTCAACCAGACCATTGCACGAGTACCCGTCAGCCGAGTGGTCCTTGACATAGGACTGGAGTCCGTCTGAACCAGACCACTGCACGACTACCCGTCAGCTGAGTGGTCCTAGACGTAGGACTGGAGTCCATCTAAACCAGACCACTGCACGAGTACCCGTCAGCCGAGTGGTCCTTGACATAGGACTGGAGTCCGTCTGAACCAGACCACTGCACGACTACCCGTCAGCTGAGTGGTCCTAGACGTAGGACTGGAGTCCATCTAAACCAGACCACTGCACGAGTACCCGTCAGCCGAGTGGTTCTTGATGTAGGACTAGAGACCATCTGAACCAGACCATTGCACGAGTACCCGTCAGTCGAGTGGTCCGAGACGTAGGACTCGAGTCCATCTCAACCAGACCATTGCACGAGTACCCGTCAGCTGAGTAGTCCTTGACATAGGTCTCGAATCTGTCTGAACCATTGCTTAAGTACCCACCCCTCAGCGCTGGCATGATAGGGACCAATTCTGCCCGGAATCCCATAATGACAGAGTCATGGTAGACAACAAGGACAAAGCTAGTAGTGACATTCAACATGCAGTGAGAGTGACGGCGTGATCTAGAAGATAAACTACTGTGTAGAGGTCAATAGGTTTCAAACATGATTTCATTCAAAGCCGAAGGAGGTAGAGAAAGGACAAATGTCAAGCCACGTTGATGTTGGTTTGTTGGTTGTTTAACGCCGCACTCAGCAGTATTCCAGCTATATGATGGCGGTCTGTAAATAATCGAGTCTGGACCAGACAATCCAGAGATTGATATCATGAGCATCGATCCACGCAATTGGGATCGATGACGTGCATCAACCAAGTCAGCGAGTCTGACCACCCGATCCCGTTAGTCACCCTTTACGACAAGCATAGTCGCCTTTTACGGCAAAGCATGGGTTGCTGAAGACCTTTTCTACCCTGGATCTTCACGGGTCCACGTTGATGTCACTGAATCTTACAATACACTCTCAACAAGTATTTGTTTGTCAAATTTCCTGCCTGAAATATATTGCCACGCTTGCTGTAGATAATGTAAGAACCACACGACGTTATTTAGCAACGTTTAAGAATTAAGATCAGTATTTGAAATTGCCAAATGGCTGGTTTGCAAAAGAATAAATATTTTCTTGGCAGTAAAGCAGTCATCAGCAATGTCATCACCTACCGTATATTGATATCTTTAGTGGTCGAATAAGAATGTAGAATTCTAAAATGTCTTGGAAAAATTTGGTTTAATTTGAACAATATTTAGGAAACAGGTTATAGGAAACAGGTTATAGGAAACAGGTTATATGACAGCGTGTCCACTTCACGTGAGGGGAAAGTCTGCTGTGGTAGAGTACCACGATATCGAGCTGACAAACTGAGGATCATCATCCTGGTGAAGCATGCAGCTGGAGGGAGTGGGGGAGTTGGGTTTCTCAACCATAGCTGCCAACTTTCCCAAATTACAACAAGAGTTTGCCATTAACGTGGCTATATCCCCCGCCCCTGTTGCAGAATTTGACATAATTAAATCTACACAAACCCTAACCTTTTTTAACCGAGGTGGAACTTGTGAAAAAAAGAAGAGTTTGGAACCTAGGTCCATCTTGTTGTCATGGAAACATAAAAAATAAAAAATTCTAAAATTTCTAAATGGCACCAGTTCAGCATGTACTTGACAGACCTGCAAAGTTCAGTTATGTCAGGGCATTAGTCTATTGTGGAAGGAAAGCCCCGAGTGACAGGCTTGCTACTTTGGTGAAACCCACGAGCGCGGGTCACGAGCTCGGGTCGGGAGCACAGGCCAAGAGCCATCTTCCCGAGGCAAGAGAGTTAACTGACTTTAAAAGTCCAGTTTCCACCCTTGCCGAACTAGGCGGGAATTCCTGGGCTCTATCGTAGCGCCACCAGTGGCTATTACCAGTTATGTCCCTTCTAAGCCTCTCCTTTAGACCAATCAGATTCCACCTCTCGTATCACTTGCATTTGCATCAAACAAAACAGTGGCACCCAGTCAAGACAATCTGATCGATAATCACGGTCTGTGTTGTGATAAAACGGGACTTACAGTGTGCAAAGCGTGAGCACTTGATTAAAAACATGAAAAGATTTGGAAAATATCTGCTGACAACGAGTTGGCGGTGCACATGCTTTGAAAATCCTGCAATCGACCGAAATCTGCACGACAGTTTACGAACCGGATTTCGATTTTGCACGATTTTGATTGGACTATGCATAGACTCGGTAGTCTAGCCAAAATGTAACTCCATAATACCAGCCCAGTTTGGCAAGGGTGGAAACTGGACTTTTATCATAAGTTAACTCCCTTGCCTGGGAAGATGGCCAAGAGCCGACAAACCAAGGATGATAATGAGGCTGAAACATGCAGAATGATGCACTAGGGCTACACAACATCAGCATCTCAAGACGACACTGCTATCTAGGTCAAACACAACACACACTTGCATGGAGTACTTACAATATCGTCTTCAGGCTTGGAACAGTAAAGTCAGCATCAGTTCACAAAGTGTTCATTATGTATAATGTACTGGGAAACAAAATCAATAATCGATTGTTGATAAGCTTTCGAAACCTCATATATGTGTCCATTTTAAGTGAGTGAGTGAGTATGATTTTACGCTGCTTTAAGCAATATTCCAGCAATATCAAGTGGGGGGGTTGGGGAGGACACCAGAAATGGGGTTCACACATTGTACCGATGTGGGGAATCGGTTTGTTATTGATTTTATGATAATGTGATCAATAATCAAATTCAGGAATCCAATTAGTATGATCAGTTTACTGATCGAATAACAGATCGTTGCACCTCAAATATATAATGTATTGAAGGTTATCGGAGTACTGACTGCTCTTGTCTATCCCAATCATTAAAGGGGTGGTGGGGTAGCCTGGTGATTAAAGCGTTCGCTTGTTAAGTTGAAGGTCCGGGTTCGATCCTCCACATGGGTACAATGTGTGAACCCCATTTCTGGTGTCCCTGGTTATTGTCTGGTTATTGCAAAAAGAGTTGTAAAATCATACTCACTCACTCACTCATATAATTACAGTTTGTACCAAATTTTTAAGAAAATAATTGTCGTTATTCCTTCAAATATCACTCCACAAAATACCTTGCTCCGTCTACAGAAAGTTTGGCAGATATGTGTCCTTCATTCATCATCAATTGGACATTAATAGCAAGGGAGGCAACTCACCTTATCTGAAGAGTACATCTGACCAGTAGAAAATTCCATGTAGACCTTGACCTTGTGTCTCGCTGCAGTGACGGCACAGTTGTGACTTAGACGTACAACACCTTCCTTGTAGACCTACAACAGTGAGTGAGTGAGTGAGTGAGTGAGTGAGTGAGTGAGTGAGTGAGTGAGTGAGTGAGTGAGTGAGTGAGTGAGTGAGTGAGTGAGTGAGTGATGGCAGAGTTGTGTCTCAGACAGACAATGCCCTCCTTGTCAATAATCAAGTATGGACCAGACTGACTGACATCATGAGCACCAATCTATGCAATGGGGATACGATAACATGCATCAACCAAGTCAGTGAGCCTAACCATCCAATCCTGTAGTCACCATATACGACAAGCACAGTTTGCTGAAGACTAATTTTAACCCGAATCTACACGGGCGAAAGAGACCAAGTCAAACCCGCATCTTCATGGGGAAGGTACTTACTGGTTCAGTCTGGCCATACTTTGTCTCTGCAGCTACGTTTATTACGAAGTCAAACTCCTCTCCGTCATCGGCAAACGCATTGTCTACAGAAGCTGGAATGAGAAAAAGGGGTCAGATGGATGAGAAAATCTGTCAAAAGTTACCGTACACGGTGAATATATATTATTATCACGTGATTATTATTATTACTGACTTTTTCTATCACCGCTGTATTTTTGTATTTGATACTAACCACTGCCATTATATCATTTGTTGCCATTGAATATTGTACCACCACTCTATTGTGTACTGCCATTGAATATTGTACCACCACTCTATTGTGTACTGCCATTGAATATTGTACCACCACTCTATTGTGTACTGCCATTGAATATTGTACTACCACTCTATTGTGTACTGCCATTGAATATTGTACCACCACTCTATTGTGTACTGCCATTGAATATTGTACCACCACTCTATTGTGTACTGCCATTGAATATTGTACTACCACTCTATTGTGTACTGCCATTGAATATTGTACTACCACTCTATTGTGTACTGCCATTGAATATTGTACCACCACTCTATTGTGTACTGCTATTGAATATTGCACTACCACTCTATTGTGTACTGCTATTGAATATTGTACCACCACTCTATTGTGTACTGCCATTGAATATTGTACCACCACTCTATTGTGTACTGCCATTGAATATTGTACCACCACTCTATTGTGTACTGCCATTGAATATTGTACTACCACTCTATTGTGTACTGCCATTGTAACTGCTGTGCAGTAATTTGTATTGATTTGCAGGCTTAGTTTTGTAATTCATTTGTTGATTGTATACGACTTGTTGGTTGTTTGTGGGTTCACACTAGGTTCTTTGACGTACAGATTTCTGGATTAACATATTGTTGCATTTTGGGACTTGACACTATCCACAAGGATCCAAGGGATATCAGGGCTTGTTTAGCTATAAACCAACCATGCACCAGTGCACCCTAATACAATCTCATTAAAATCAGACCTTAGTTCTCACTACCGCTAAACAAAGATCTGACCAGGGTGCAATCGTTTTTTTTTGGTGCAACTTGGTATTCATGTCAACATGTACCTGGTGCAAGTTACCAGCCCTGGGTATACAGTGTGAATACAAGAGATACCTGGGTTGATGAGGTTGGAGTGTCGGAATTCCACCTTGGGGCTGCTGAAGGATTCCTGAAACACAAACAAAGAGTAATTGTAAGTCAGAGAGTGATTTGGGATAAAAATTTAATATTCTTGGTTCTCAGGCTCAGGTTTTATTTCCATTGTTAAAAAAATATAATCTTAAACCTATACTAAAGTACCACATGATTTCACGATATTAAATACACAAAATTTGAGTACATACTAGCTTGAACAACAACAACACCAAAAACACCTCCAGCCCTCACTATATTTTCATAAGCCATAGCCTTAGAGTGAGAACCAGTTCTTTTATTTTTCAAGCCTTAGTAGTCATAGCATGTCAGCTTGATGTGGAGGGAAAGCCCAAACTGATGCAGGTCTTAGATGTTTACCATTAAGGTGAAACCCTCGGGTACTGGTATGGTGCTGACAACCTAGAAACATGGTCAGGGAAAGCAGGATTTGAACTCATGATCACAGGCGTCTGGCATGCCCAAGGGACACAACTCTGCACAGCGAATAGCAGTGCCTTGGACAACTGGGCCACCCGTGCCCCGGTATAAGAAAGGGCTTGTCAATAAGGAGGGATGAGTGGAGGTAAAGAACCTGGCAATCAGGCTGTCATTGTACAAAACAACCTTAGCGCTTAGTCCACGTCAAAGTATGGGAGCTACGATCACCTTAGCGCTAAGATAGCTTTGTGCAACGGCACCCTTTATCACTGTTACCATGGCTACTCACTGTATGATGGGGGTTCAGCCACGCCATCTGGGGGGGAACTTTGTCGGCAACACGCACCTGAAACACAAGCAACATTCTTTATCACCAGCAACTTTTTTCAGTTGTAGACTTGTTCTCCATGAAAAGACAAGAAGACTGCCATCAATATCTCCCCTCCAAACACTGTATGAGTTGTCTCCCTTGTTTGTTGGGTATTTAATGTCTTACTTGGCAATATTCAGGCAATATGACAGCGGTCTGTAAACAATCGAGTCTGGACCAGACAATCCAGTAATTGACATGTACATTGATCGACGCAATTGGGATATGATGTCATGTTAACAACTGAATCACCAAGATCAACCACCTGATCCACTTTACCATGGCAACCATATTATCAGCTTACCTTAGCAACCATATTATCAGCTTACTTTAGCATACTTACTATTAGTTTACCATGGCAACCATATTTTCAGCTTACCTAAGCATATATCTTATCAGTTTACCATGGCAAACATATTCATGATATTATCAGCTTACCTTAGCAACCATATTATCAGCTTACCTTAGCAAATATCTTATCAGTTTACCATGGCAACCATATTATCAACTTACCTTAGCAACTATATTATCTGTGCACCTTAGCATATATCTTATCAGTTTACCATGGCAACCATATTATTAGCTTAACTTAGCAACCATATTATCCGTGTACTTTAGCATATATCTTATCAGCTTACCTGAGCAACCATTTTATAAGGCTACCTTAGCAACCATATTATTTGTCTACCTTAGCAACCATATCATTGGCCTACCTTTGCAACCAATTCATTCTTTACCAAGTAGTGTACCAGGTTCCTCCCAATAAAGCCGGTACCTGAAAACAGAAAATATAGACCGTAATACTCCTCCTATTCATGTACTAGCATCAAGTGGTGTCCTCTGTAGACTCCATCAATCCAGCGCTGAGTGAGTGAGTGGGTGGGTGGGTGGGCTCCAACCTAAGAAAAAATTGTGTGAGTGGGTCAGGTTAAACCCCTTGATTTGAACAGTATTCCAGTTATATCACGGTTATTCCAGTTATATCACGATGAGTGAACTTAATGTGGGAGGAGAGCCCGATCTTATGCAGGTCTTAGACAATTATGACTTTGGTGAAACCCATGAGCAGGGGATGGTGCTGACCAACCTAGATCGGGGCAAACGGAGATTAAAACCCACAATCATAGGTTTCTGACTTGTCCAGGGGAGGCAACTCTGCAGCAGAATTAGGATAAACATGTGGCACCACACAATAGCTGCATGTCTCCTCAAATCCACAAGTAACCATGGTAACAAGGGAATCACAGAACAGTTATCATCACATTTCATGTTCATATGTAAGGTGTACATGGTGAAAGTCATTGGGTCCTTGTCAAAATCTTCATTACAAAGAAAGGGGCAGTCAGGTAGCTTTGTGGTTAAAGCATTAGCTTGTCACACCGAAGAACCAGGTTCGATCCCCAACATGGGTACAATGTGTGAAGCCCATTTCAGGTTTCCCTTGCCATAATATTGCTGGAATATTGCTAAAGGTGGCGTAAAACCAAACTCACTCACTCACTCATTTCAAAGTTTCAAGTCTCTTCATGGTCCTAGCATCAAACCGTGATGGACCTGGATCCCTTCACTTCTACCACTGATACTGAAGTTGGGTTTGCTAATCTAAATCTAACATTTCACAAATGTTGAATGAATTTAAAAGTTTTAAGAATAGAATTTCAAAAACATGTAAAGAAAAAAAGAACTTAAAAAAAAAATTCCAATGGACAAAATAGCAATTTATTTTCCAATTTGCCTGCCAATTATGATTGGTTTGGATGCCAAGATAAATCCATGCTTGTTCACTTCATTCAGTAAAAAAGAACACTTTTTAAACAATTAAAGCAATATTTCTTGTAAGTCAATAGCTGATACATATAGGGAAAGAAAAAGTATGTTTGAAAAAAATATTTCAATCCTATTTGCCTTCCCACAATTCTTCTTCAGGATCACTTTGAAAAAAATATTTCCCATGGTTTTTTCTCGACCATTCACCAGAAATTTTTTTAATCATTTAAATCTCTAACACAAAAAAGAAAGAGGCTTGATGTCATATAGGTGCCCGAGGATGACCCTACAGGGGGTATTCAAATTACATGCCATCAATTCAAATTTGAAAAATTTACATTTCCTTTTGGTAATATTGACACTCTAGATTTGGAGATCATACAAACATTTGTCTATCAATTTATGCTCTTTTCCCTCTGTGGAAATGTAATTGTGGAACATGCCCTTGTTAAAAGAAGCAATGTTGAGATATACCAGCTTGAACAGTATTCCACGGGGAACAAACTCCCATAACACCACCCCTATCAATAACAACATTGCTTGTTGAAGACACATTAAACACCTCAGACATGGGTGTTTTTAACAGTGTATTTTTCCACTCAGTGTGTATCAGATTCTCAAACATTCTTTGTCCTATGTCTTTTCTGTTTATAAGAAACAAGATGTTCGGCAGCACCCTATATGTGACACTCTCACACATGCTGATGTCAAACAAAAGCCAGACAATGTATATTTATATAGTAGAGGATGTCTCACCTTCAAGCAGGCCCTACAACCAGGACAATGGCAACATGGTTTTGTTTATAAAGTATCGTTAAAATGAATTTCTTGCTCCTCATGATTATGTTGTTGTGTGTTTGTTTATTATTGTTTAACGCCACACTCGGCAATATTCCAGCTCTATGACGGCGGTCTGTAAATAACCGGGTCTGGACCAGACAATCCAGTGATTGATAACATGAGCAGTGATCTACCCAATCGGGATACGATGACATGCATCAACCAAGTCAGCGAGTCTGACCACCCGATCCCGTTAGTTGCCTCTTACGACCAGCATAGTCGCCTTTTATGGCAAGTATGGGTTGCTGAAGACCTATTCCGTCCCGGATTTTCAAGCGTTGCCTGTAAAGTGAGGACCCAGAAACAAAGTATACACTTCACATGTTTCAAAGGAATTGGCAAGTCGGGTATCACATTTTGGGGGTTAATTGGTGGTAAGGTCTACCTTTTTTCAAGTCCAGAATAAACTCTGTAGATCTCTGTGACACCCAAGATCAAGAGTATGGTGCAGACAAACCAAGAGACATGACAAGACTGAATCAAGGATTCAAACCCAGGATCACAGGTTTTGGCATGCCTAATGACGAACTTGGCACAGTGAGTTCACCACCTTAAAAAACTGGGCCACCAGTGCCCCTGTAGAGAAAGAAGAGAATTAAATTCTCGCATCAATTCACTTTGTAGTTTACACTTAATGTCTTGACGGCCAAGGAAAATTAAGCAGGTGGCAGTTGACACCACCAGACATTTATCTCGATGATCTGCAACCAACTTCTGGAATACGACCCGAAACAGACACATTTTATTTCCTTATCCAAGCTAATATCTCGACCTGCTCACACTGGCACAGGCCGATATTTAGCCCAAGTCTGCTGCAAATTCCATTAACAATTCTCAAAATGGAAATAAGAGTTTTCCAAATTCATTTCAACTAATTTTATGATTTTGTAGAAATATCCTGTATTCCACTGAAAACAGGACCGATACATGGGAAGAGGTTTTAATGTTTAGTTACATATATCATTACATTAAATGCAACCTCAAAATACAAGGTTAAAATAGGCCTACCTCTAAATTTAAGAGTGAGTGAGTGAGTATGATTTTATGCCTCTTTATTCCAGCAATATCAATTTGAACTGAGGAAAAATGAACTTTGAATAAAAAATCACAATTTTTAACAACTTTTAACTCCAATTTGCCCGTCAGGGGAATTTGTTTTAAAATCCTAAAAAAACACAGGTATTCATGTTATTACGCTTATCAACAAACGGAATCAAAACTGCATCGTGCTATCTAATCATGCTGGCTTGAACATTTTCTATTTCAGTAAGCAAGTCTCCATTTCTTTCTGCAAGCCACATATAAAATGGCTCATATCACAAGACAGTATTTGCGTTATCAGCAAATGTTTGCTTTTTTCATGAACAGATGTGTTTTTCTTGACCAACATCCAGTAACAAATTGACTGAGTTTGTGTTCAAGAAAGTAATGTTTGTAAACAATCCGCTATCACCACCACGGAGATGACAAACTTTCTCTTCCTTCTCAACACACACAGGAAAATGTTAGGCAAGATAACATTCCTGCAATTTAGTTTGCTTAACCCTTGTCTGCACAAGCAACTCTTCCTTAACCCCGGCCCTGCTACAGAACTGTGAACGCCTACATTTATTCATAAAACTCTATATAGTGTTGTCATTGTTTTAATGAAGTCTTATTTTCATAGAATAAACCTGTAGCAGGAACGAGGAACTTCCTACAGAATATAACTCTGTCCCCTGGATAATCTATTGAAAGTCCCCGCTATTAAATTACATCCTCTAATCCTCTACATAACAGTCCGACCATTTGATATTCATGGGGGGGGGGGGGGGGGTGAATGCTTGAAATATATTGAACTTCTGACTGTTGGCCAAAAAAACACATTGTTGTGACATATCCAAGCCTGCCCACCCCTGAAAATCAAATGGTCGGCTACGCATTACAATGCTAACTGTAGGAAATGTGTGGATAGATGTAACATCAAAAAAATATTTCTGTGGATTGTGGGGCTGGGACGAGTCCAAATTTACTACCTGGGTAACCAACACCATATTACCTGACCCAACCTTGGTACCCACTGCAGGTCTCAAGAGTTGGGAACAAAATGTCTGATTGGGGATTGTTTTACCGCAGCCCTGGCAAAACAACATAAATACATGCATCAAACAATCATATCATGCGTGCACTGAAGTTGACTGAATTTTTATCTTTACTCAAACATATACAAATCAAAAGTAACGTGTGCATCGTCAGAAAGAAATGCGAACATTAGGGACTTGTAGTGTAACCACTGAGCTATAGTGGGTTTTTGTCATTAAACAATATGTCACGTGAGTAACCACAGGTCCGGGTAGTTCTGTGGGTACCCAGGTGCTACTAAGGACCCTACCGACCCGAGTACCCGAGTTACCCATCCCAGCCCAAGTGGACTGAACTTGCAACCTTCATACTCGTAGTCTAGTCTATGAGCTACAACTAGTACTAGGCTATAGAGGCGCTGATAAATCACAATATTTTAGCAGTCTCTTTTTAAGTACATGAACGTTGCATGATGTGTATTACGTCCCGAAGGTGTGTTGGAAAAATAAAATTATTGATAAATGTTGTTTCAGATTTTGCATTTGGTTTAGAAGTCAGATAAAACACCCCCTCAGGTTTAACCTTAACACAGCCCCCCCCCCCCCCCCCCCCCCCATGGGGATTTCAGGTTAGAATTGGTCCCCAGCTATACCTATGCTGGTCGTAAGAGACAACGTAACAGATCGGGAAAGAAGGCTTGCTGACTTGGTTGATGCCGTTTCATCCAACCCTGATGGCGTGGATCGTTGTTCGCAATACCAATCACTGGATTGTCTGGTCCAGACTCGACTATTTACAGACTGCTGCCATACAGCAGAAATATTGCTGAGCGTGGCGTTAAACAACAAACTTTTGGGGGTAATGACCAAGGCAACATATTAGGGCTGGGGCGGATAACTCGGGTACTTGGGTCGGGTGGGTCCCGAGAAGGATCCGGGTACCCACGGGACTACCCGGACCCGTGGTTAGTCACGTGACATATTGTTTGATGACAAAAACTCACTTCTGCTCAGTGGTTACACCAAAAGTCGCTGATGTTCGCATTTCTTTCTGACGATGTACTCATTCCTTTGGACTTGTATATGTCTGAGTAAGTTTCAGTGAACTACAGTGTATTCCAGCGTGTCAGCTTAATGTGGGAGGAAAGCCAGAAGTGATGCAGGTCTCAGACGTTTACCTCTTCGGTGAAACCCACGAGCACGGGTATGGTGCTGACAAACCTAGAAACATAATCAGGGCAAACCGGGATTCGAACCCACAATCATAGGTTTCTGGCGTGCCCAAGGGACGCAACTCTGCGACTTCTTAGACAACTGGGCCACCCGTGGCCCCCCTTCCTTGAATAGAATACATTTTCTGCCCATCAAGTATCTGACTATCTGTCATTATAGCTAAAATGGATAGAATTATCATAAAAACGCCCGCATGTTATCAGAAATGAGTGGGCCACTGTAACTTGATAATGCCCTCATATTACTTGACGATGGGCCATTATCACGCCCGTTGTTAGGTGACGTCATAGGATAGGGAAAGGTGACGTAACGTTTAATAGTGGCGTCATCTGGTTTGTTCTATGATGTTTCCATATTTGTAAAAGTGGGTCAGTGACATTCATGTTGATTGCAGTAAATGTTTCAAAATCGACATTGTTGTTTCTTTTTATTTGATGACAAATTCCATCCATTGTAGCTGTAATAACGGTAACGCTTTTTTTCAGGGCATTATCATTTGCAGAAGCCCTCGGTCTTTTCAACTGCCCTCCTTCGTCAGGCAGTTAATAGAAGACCTCGGGCTTCTGCAAATGATAATGCCCTGAAAAATAGCGTTACCCTTATATTATCTGAATATTTCCATTTTTGTCACTTTGAGCCCAATGAATATGCATGTGTAGCATAGTCCATAAAAGATTATACTAGCTTTACGTCTATCATGCCAAGATCTAGTATCACAACATGCAAGACATTCAAAACGGTTCAATGTTCAGTTGAAATATAATATTTGCAGAGATTTTCATGATTGAGGTGAGGTATTGTTTAACGTCACGTTCAAGATTATTGTACTTATGAACATGTTCATGTTTGTGAGGCTGCTTGTACTAGATGTGTTTATGACGGTTTTACAGTGCTAGCCCACTGAGATACCATGCCACAGTTTAACATGGATACCCCACTCAGACAGTGTTCCTGCTCTTGTTTTATCACCATAATCATATTAATGCTAAGGGCCAGGAACAGTTTTAATTGTTGTTTAACACCGCACTCAGCAATATTCCAGCTATATGATTATAGTCTGTAAATAATTGAGTCTGGACCAGACAATCCAGTGATTGACATCATGAGCATCGATCCACACTATTGAGATATGATGACATGCATAAACTAAGTCAGCGAGTCTGACCACCCCATCCCGTTAGTCACCTCTTACGACAAGCATAGTCACCTTTTACGGCAAGCATGGGTTGCTGATCCCCGGATCTTCACGGGTGAATAACAATAAATACTTCTGATACGAGGCTGGGAATCAAACCACCAACCTTTCACCTAGTAGACTCAAAATGATTTGGCACAGACAGTATGAACGGTTTGAAGAAACTAGATATATAACAATTGTGTCGAAAATCAGGAAGTGATATGAGATATGTGTTGGTGTCTTATGAAAGAAACCTTGTACTTCCTTAATTTTCTCAATCCATTGTCCAACAGTTGACAACATATACAGTGTCCGGTGCTGGGCCCCAGATATATGTTACCATGGTTACACGCATTCGGCCAAAAATCAAACATAAATGTTTCTGGCCTTAACATGCTTAAGTATTTACTCACTTGTTTTCGTAGTGATTGTTTTCCTTGAGTATTCAATATATTTTTACTTTCTTGGGTATCTTGAAATAAGTGGACACTCTTTTTAAATATTTCTGCTTTGAGTGCTGTGATGAGTAAGCATTTTGGGACTTAAAAAAATGAAATAATGTTTAAGATGTTTATAACGGTTTAAAATATAGGCTTGGCTCGGCAAGGTGAAATGGGGTTTAACATCATGTTCAAGATTATTGCACTTATATACTAATATATGTGTGTGTGTGGCTGCTTGTACTAGTCTGGAGTAATACCAATTTTACAATGCTAGCCCACTGAGATATCATGCCGCAGTTTAACATGAATACCCCACAAAGATACAGTATACTGACTCCAAGCCGACCAATCCTTGTTTTAGCCCCTTAATGAGCATCAGACAGAGTAACAACAAGTACCATCTTTTAACATCTTTTGGTATGACACAGCTGGGGATCTGACCCATGACTTTCTCTCCAGGTAGACGCTCTACCACTAGACCACAGTGTCAGTTTTATCCCTATAAAGTGCAGCATTTATGTCAAAGGAATATCTGTTCCTGTAGTGAAATTGTCCTTGTAATTTTAAAACAATGGGGAAACTCAATACTAGCCTGCAGGAATTTGAACTAGCCCCGGGCCTCCTTTAGTTCTATCCTTGAATAACTAATTTTGCCCTTATGATCAGCTTATAAGTCTTATCATTTAATATTTGTCAAACATTTCGACCCTCATTCGTGTGAAAGACAGAACAGTTTTCTGTATGACATAAATATAACATTCATGTTCACAAACACAATGACTTGAATAATCCCTATGATCGTCTTCCAATTGAATCCACCCTATTATAGAACAGCACATCACAGATTTAAACACTAGCCAGGTAAAGAATAAATTATATGCAGGTTCAACTGCAAAGGCGTAAGCTTCTGACTCACGATGAACAAGTTTCATTACCTGAAACATCGACCCCGACCAAAGCCAGACACATGGAATTATTGATAAATTCATCAGCCATCGCTGTCATCAGCTGATATAGTAGAAAAACAACACAGAAGATTTTGAATAAAAATCGTTAATTTGAAATACTTCTCAATCATATTTAGCTAAAATTCGTATCAATGAGTCAGTTCATAAGTGCAATGCACGCCTAACATACTCAAGAATGGGTTGAGTCATAAACATAAGCCTTACCTCCCAGTATAAGCACGCGTGCACGTTGCTTTTCCGCCATTTTGCAATATGGAAATCACGTGACAGACGGTGTCCCGTCAATTGGTATCCCGCTGTTTTTTTAAACCCACAGCAAAGCAATATTACGAACAAGGGTAAATGAGTGAGTGAGTATGGTGTTACGCCGCCTTGAGCAATATCACGGCTTCACACTTACGAACAAGGGTTTTGAATCGATTTTGCTTTAAAATCGGAGTTTAAAACGTGTATCGTAAAAGAGAGTCGTTAGGTTTTCAAAAATAGTAATTGTGAAAGTTGAAATAATTTACTTTCTCTGTTTTTCTTCTTTCATTCGCTGTTTGCTGTTTTGTGTACACACAAAAAATGAAGTCAAGGAGAAACTGGCACCTTGTTATTTCAAAAATCTGGATTTGATTAGAAACATATTTTTGATGCCTTAAATATTTATTCTAATGTTTATTATATTCACATACGGTTTTGATGGTTTTCTCTGGGTATTCAACATGTTTAATGTTTAGACTCCTTATCGATGAAGATTGAAATATGTATTGTAAAAGAGAGTCGTTATCTTTTCAAAAGAATAATTGTGAAAATCGAAATACAAATATATTTATGCTTTCAGACACGTGAAGGTCCGGGGTAGAATAGGTCCTCAGCAACGCATGCTTGTCGTAAGAGACGACTAACGGGATCGGGTGGTCAGGCTCGCTGACTTGGTTGATGCATGTCATCGTATCCCAATTGCGTGGATCGATGCTCATGATGTCAATCACTGGAGTGTCTGGTCCAGACTCGGTATTATTTACAGACCGCCGTCATATGGCTGGAATATTGATGAGTGCAGCGTTAAACAACAAACAAACAAAGATCAAATCAAACTCGAAATCTATCCTTGAAATCGAAGTATATAATAACGGCAAGTTTTTTTTTAAAATTTACCTCCTCGAGCACCAACAAATAAAACTTATAACAGAACAATGATTATGATGGTATTGGAGATTTTACGAGCGCTTCCATTTGAGCCGATTTCGCACTCAGAGCTTACCTAGAAACGTATGAAATAGGTAGTAAAAATAAGATTACAAGAGTACAGTAGACTACGGCTTATAACGACCACTCTTTTAGTTAGTTGTAACCATCGTCCGTTATATAAAGTATTTCGTCGACTGTCAGACGTCTTGGATCAAGTCGGCCGCCTCCGTGGTTTAGTGGTAGAGCGTCCGCCCGGAGAGCGGAAGGTCCGGGGTTCGATCCCCGGCCGCGTCATACCAAAAGACGGTAAGATGGTACTTGTTGTTACCCTGTCTGGCGCTCGACATGAACGGATAAAACAAGGACTGGTAGGCTCGGAGTCAGTATACTGTGTCTAAGTGGGGTATTCATGTTAAACTGCGGCATGGCATCTCAGTGAGCTAGCACTATTAATCGGCATTAGTCCGGACTAGAACAAGCACACACACACACACACACACACACACACGTCGCTGTATAAGTTAGATAAAATTGGACGCGACGTTAAACCCCATTTCACCTCACCTACAGACCGTAGTCATATAGCTGGAATATTGCTGAGTGTGGCGTTAACAACTAACCAACCAACCTAAATTAAACATTGTTCTATCATGACATCATTTCTTGAGATTGGCACATGCACTCGCAACTTGATGACGTCGTTATTTTGAGAGGGGAGTAGCTGGGCAAGGCAGAAAAAAACGCGATGGTCGAACGATCACCCCCGAAAGCGGGAGAGGATTGACCATCGGTATTGGAAGAAACGGTACAGATAATCGACTTGAGGATTGTAAGAATATGCCCACCTGTGGTTAAATCGACTTGCCCGACATTGCCGAGGTCGGATCCTATTGAGGGAGTCGTCATTAATAAAATACGGGCAACTATTCTTAACGCTTGTAAATTTCAGCATCATCCGGAAAGATGCTGTATATAATGTTGATATCCCATATAAGAAATAAACGACTCATGGTCGTTATTTATCGTACAATAAAACACAGCAGGGAGAATATACAAATCAGGGTCTGCAGCTCTTACGGCTTATTCTCCCTGCAGTTATTTATTGTACGATAAGCAATTCCCATTCGTCGTATATTTCTTAAATACTAGTATACAGCTATACGTTATAGTGAAAACCATTTCAATACTTTTATTTAAAAAAAGCGAAAACCATTTCAATACTTTTATTTTAAAATTCATTCATCTAAAACACATAATTGGTTCAATATGTTTCCAAGTGCACCGATATCCTATGCCCTTTGTCTGTTTAATATGCATGTGTATTCAGCAAACATTCGGCGTATCCCCACTTATCATAAGCCCCTCCGGGCAGGAACCTTAGTGAGTGAGTGAGTGAGTGTAGTTTAACGCCGCTTTTAGCAATATCACGGCGGGGGACATCAGAAATGGGCTTCACACATTGTACCCATGTGGGGAATAGAACCCGGGTCTTCGGTATGACGAGGGAAGTAGGAACCTTAATATCCAGCGCTATCTATAAAATTCAATTAACACCTCCTTACGTCGCGGGATCTTACGTATAAGTTATGCAATTTCATTGAGACTGCTATTGTGAGTGAGTTTGGTTTAACGCCGCTTTTAGCAATATTCGAGCAATATCACGGCGGGGGACACCAGAAATGGGCTTCACACATTGTACCCACGGGGGGAATAGAACCCGGGTCTTCAGGGTGACGAGCGAACGCTTTAACCACTAGGCCACCCGACTGCCCCTTGAGACTGCTATACATCTCCTCTTGGTACACTGAATGCTGAGCCCTTTTAAGTGGTTTTCCGGATGTACAGTATGATGGACGTCATGAAATGTTTATCTGGTACGCTGATGCCAATATTTCAATGTTGAAATGCATTAGTATAGTTTTTTTCCCTTGCAAAGAGTGACAATTCAATGGAATATTTATTCCCATTTTAGCAATATTCCAGCAATATCAGGGCGGGGGCCACCAGAAATGGGCTTCACACATTGTACCAATGTGGGGAGTCGAACCCGGGTCTTTGACGTGACGAGCAAACGCTTTAACCATTAGGCTGCCCCACCACCCGTCAAAGTCAGAAGCCTAATTTACTGGTATCAGCTGTGTACACTGATATGACTAAAGAGTTCTGAAATTGGATGCCAAGATAAAATTGGTTCAGAGATGTAATGTTGCATCGAACTAATAAATAAGCCAGGGTCTACCGTACTGACATCGAAATGAAGTTAAACCGCCAGCTAAGTCAACATATTTAGTCAAGGCAGCGTAAAGATGTGGTCTGTTGCCAGGAAACACATCTGACCAGCGTGTGATGAAATCCAATATACGAACTACATCCTTTAAAAAAAACAATGCTACCTCCAGCCATGCACCACTGTAGTGAGTGAGAGAGTGAGCTGGTTTGGGTTTAACGCTGCTTTTTACATTATTCCAGTTATATCACGTGTGTCAGCTAAATGTGGGTGGGAAACCCGAATTGATGCAGCTCTCAGACGTTTACCACTTCCTTGAAACCCACGAGCACGTATATGGTGCTGACAAACCTAGAAACATAATCGGGGCAAACATGGATTCGAACCCACAAACATAGGTTTCTGGCGTGCCCAAGGGACACAACTCTGCACAGCGATTTGCTGTGGCTTAGATGACTGGGCCACCCGTTTGTCTCGGGAAGATGGCAACCCTTTTCCTCCCAAATAATAACATAAATGAGAATAAAGGTAATAACTTGCAAATAACAATATACAAAAGGTTTATTGAATAGCTGCATGTCTTAACAGAACACAAAACGGTATTTGATGATATCAGACCCATGAAGATGATATCTAAGGCCCTCTGAATGACCATCTTAAAGGTAAACATGATGGAGAAAATAAATGCAAAATATGAATGTCCAAAAGCTGCTACACCTGGACATCGTCGTAGAACCCAGGGATTAAATGCTTGGTCAGCATTCATTCACACTGCATTGTCCTTCAATATAGCACGTTCTTGGAGGACAACTGCCACTGTCTGACACCTACATTGCACATATATAACAATTACGCCCATCAGTTCTTGCCAGTGGATCCGAACCCGCCAGACCCTCTCTCAGTGTTGCCCAGCTCCTGTGAAGGAACAGAAGAAAGAAGGGTAGTTCAGTGGCCTATAGGGGATATGGAAACATTTTCAACATAGCAGGAATGGCAAATAACCAAGAATGTCTACAAGCCTGAATAACATATAGCAATCCCCCTAAAATGATGGAAATTCTACTAGCCCTTAGGATACCTTAACAAAAATGGCCCGGGCTACTGGGTTAGAGCTAATTCCTATCCCTGTTTAGAATCCAGCATTTTTGAAAAGGAGGGGTCCGGGTCAATTTTACTGGGGGGGGGTCCATCCAGATTCCCCTCTGGATCCGTCTATGCAAGTGTTTTTTGAGTATCAAATATTTCTCTCAAACTATTACTGGTTACACCTCTTTTAGAACAGGCAAACCCTGAATATTGTCAAAAACATGAAACACAGAAAAGCATATACATTAAAACCCTGAAAACTAACAATACCTTTTAATTTTGCAATTTAAAAAAAATAATTTTGACATAAATCCTAATGTAGAAAAAATATATTCTAAGTTTAGCTGCCAATAGCACTTAGTTTGGAATTAAGATATTACAATACGCCCTCAGGGGCAAGGTGACAGCAAGTCAAATAAGTATAGAATATTACCTCCAATTCTTTCAGTTCAGGAATGTATATTCTTTCACAGATGAGCTGTGCAATACGATCACCACTGTTCACTGAAAACAAAGAAATAAACATTAGCCAAGACCAAATGCTTAGTTTGTTTGTTGTTAAACGCAACACTCAGAAATATTCCAGCTATAAGACGACGGTCTGTAAATAATTGAGTCTGGACCAGACAATCCAGTGACTGACATCATGAGCATCGATCCAAGCAATTGGGATACGATGACATGCATCAACCAAGTCAGCGAGCCTGATTATGTTAGTTGCCTCTTACGACAAGCACCGTGGCCTTTTTACGGCAAGCATGGGCTGCTGGAGACCTATTCTACTCCAGATCTTCACTGGTTTCCAAGTGCTTAGTCTCAAGTTGGGTCTTACATCTCTTAAGCAATATTCCAGCAACATAACACGGAGAGACCAGATATAGGCTTCATTTGTTGTATCCATCTGGGGAATAGAACCCATCCTTCATCGTGATGAGCAAACGGGCAGGTAAAATACATTCTTGTTTCTTTACGACTCCCCCTCCCAAATTGACATGGTGGGAAGGGAGGATTTTCATAAATGTAATTATTTAGCAGTTGGCCTCTTGAAAATGAGGTTTACAAATTTTGAGCATAAAACCAGTTCTTTTGTGTACTTAGGCGAAATCACCAAAGCGCACATTAAAATTATTGTATGCCCTGTAGAGAGGAGTCACTTATCTGAACGCTTTGCCGATTCCTGACCACATATATTTATTGGCAAAATGAAAACTACAATTAGCGTGAATGTACACAACTATTTATGTCTTTCTGAAGGTGAGTTTGCACCAAAACAAAAAAAACAAAAAAAACCCGCCATAAAATGTTTCAATAGGTCAAACTGACTTTCAAAGCAAAACTTTATCAGCCTTATATGCAAGAAGAAAGCCAAGCTGAAAAGTTGTTTTCTAACAGTTAATTTTTTTTAGATCATTTAATGCCTGAAATTCCTACTGTATTTTAACAAGCCTAACTCCTATAGGAGTAAGGACTACATTTTATTACCAGTACAGTGCAATACTCCTTTCAAACAATGAATATTGCATTACGAAATTACAGCTTTGGTGGAAACTGCACTTTTATTGCAATATATTATCAATGTTATGGTACATTGGGTAAAGATATAAGACAACTGGAAGTACAGGTATAGTTATTATTGTTTAACCAAAACCAGTTTTATAGTAGTAGCCCACGGCAATACCTCAATTTAAAATGGATTCTCCATTCAGACAGTATTTTTAACCAGTCCTTGTCATCACGCCCACCCTACCCCCCCCAAAAAAAATATTGCCAAGCAGGCAGGGTAACAACAAGTACCACAAATTGGGATCCGCTGCCATGGAGATGTCAAAATGTGACTGAGACAGGCACATAGTGTGGAACAAAGTCCCTCTTTAAATAAAAAAATTGACGTTGTTTTAAGTCTTGCCTTTGAAATCTTCTTTACTAAAGTTGAACATAACAACGCCAACATTCCCTCTGTAGTCCTGGTCAATAACACCAGCTGAAACAGATAGCATGTATACACCAGCTGGAATTTATTAACATGATTAAACAACAGTTTGTTGTTTAACGCTACACACAGCAATATTCCAGCTATATGACGGCAGTCTGTAAATAATCGAGCCTGGACCAGACAATCCAGTGATTGGGATAGGATGACATGCATCAACCAAGTCAGCGAGCCTGACTACCCGATCCTGTTAGTCGCCTCTTAAGCATAGTCACCTTTGACGGCAAGCATGGAAGTACTTCTGTGGGTTTCTCGAGTGCTAGACCTGAATGTAATTGTGGCAAATCATGACAACCAGGGATAATTCTAGGGTGGGGCCTTGTGTTTTAGCCCCTAAATTTGAAAAAAAGGCCAACATTTTTAAATACATTGGGACATTTTAACATTTAACCGTACCTATGGAATATTTGAAATTTTCACATTAGGGGTACTGTTAGAAAATTCCTAGAATGAACCCTGGACCACCTTAATTTTGAACACTGCATGTGATCTTGACATCCCTCAGCAGTTGCACACAACAGTATCTTACAAATACATGTCATTTGTTTATTAAAGACAATCGAAGTGAATACTTCCTGGCCTTCATTTCGCCCTACACTAGATCCAGTACACATTTTCCCCAACAATTTCCAGTCATTGTTCATTCAAGGTCTTGTCGGAAATTCCACACATTAACCATTGTTGAGATACTGTAAATTACCGTTTGTAAGAGGGTTGCCGCACTCGGCAATATTCCAGCAGTCTATAAATAATCGAGCCTGGACCAGACAATCCAGTGACTGACATCATGAGCATCGATCCATGCAATTGGAATCGATGACATGCATCAACCAAGTCAGACCACCCGATCCCATTAGTTGCCTTTTAAGACAAGCAAAGTCACCTTTTACGGCAAGCATGGGTTGCTGAAGACCTATTCTAGCCCGGATCTTCACGGGTCCATCTATCTATGATGTACTCACCTCCTACATCAATGAAATGTTTGGCTGCCAGGCCAGAACGAGGAGCTGAAACACACGACACAGACCATACACATTTCTCTTGATAACAAACATGATAATGTGATGTGATGTGTTTTATGACAAAAGAAGTCAGCAATCTTTGATGCACAACACTGGAATTGCAACATATGCATTCGGTGTTGTTTGTTGTTTTGTTTGTTTAACGCCGCACTCAGCAATATTCCAGCTATACGACGGCGGTCTGTAAACAATCGAGTCTGGACCAGACAATCCAGTGATTGATATCATGAGCATTGATCTACGCAATTGGGATATGATGACATGCATCAACCAAGTCAGCGAGTCTGACCACCCGATACCATTAGTCACCTTTTACGACAAGCATGATTGCTCAAGACCTATTCTACCCCAGATCTTCATGGGTATGGTCTGTAAACAATAAAGTCTGGACCAGATAAGTCAGTGATTGATATTGTCAATAACGATCCACGCCTTTGAGGGAAAATGACACGATCAACCAACTCACAGAACCTGACCACCAGATTTAGTTGCCTCTTACAAACAGCATAGGCTGCTGGGGGCCAAGTCTAACCCGGAATCCCCAATTGTTTGTATTTAGTGAAAAATGTTGTTTGTTTGTTGTTTAACGCCACACTCGGCAATATTCCAGCTATATGCCAGTGGTCAAAAAATTATCCAGTCTTGACCAGACAATCCAGTGATTGACATCATGACATCAATTTGGAAATGATGACATGTATCAACCAAGACAGCAATGCCTGATCGCCGTATCCCGTTAGTCGCCTCTTACAACAAGCACAGTCACCTTTTACGGCATGCATGGGTTGCTAAGAACTATTCTACCCCAGATCTTCATGGGTCTAGTGAAAAATGACACCAGTAGGGTGTGCACATGTCTATCATGTGTACTAGTGACAGTTTGCACAAACCAAGAATAGAATCCCTTTATTTGTAGTGTGCCATGCAATAGGGCTTGGACAATGACAAATTTACTACCCAGGTACCTGACAGCCTATTACCAGACCCTACGCAGGCACGCGCTGTAGTCTCATGAGTTGGGTACAAAATGTCCAAATGGGAATTGTTTTACTGAAGCCCTGGCAAAGAAACATTTACATACACGTATGAAATGATCTGATCATGCATACACTGAAGTTGTTAGCGCTTTTTCCTTCCTCGAATGTATAATCTTGCTTAGTGATAAAGAAATGTCAACTTGAGCTATACTTGCAGTGTAACCATGGAGTTTTATTGTTAATGTCATTAAACAGTGTATCACGTGACTAACCACGGTCCGGGTAGTCTTGTGGGTACCTGGGTACATCCTTTTTGTTCATCAATTTCCATGCGAGTGCTTATTACAGCAAATACGGTAGCAGAAATCCTCAAGGACAAGGGCACCCCAATAATTATTTAACTCTCCATGGTTCCCACTTTTTTTCTTCCGAAAAATTCCCTGATATTTCCAAAACTTAGAACTTTTCCAGACTGCATTACACGGCCTCCATTATAACAACTGGGAGTGGTGTTTTAACTTTATTTTATAAACAGCTTTAAAATAGAACAATGGAAACGTCTTTTTTTAGATATTTCTGTACAAAAGTGTGTTATGTTTGGTTTAAGGAAAACTAAGTCACCAAGAAATTATCCTCCCCTTAAGGCCATCCATCTGCCACCATTTAAAGAGTTCAAACTACAAATTAACTCCATCAATCATTGCCTAATCAAAACAAGTATTACAATTTTTGAAAATGGACTTCAGGACTAGGATCTCACAACTTTAGAAACATGAACGTGAACTAATTAGTAACATTATAATAAAGTAAATACCATCACTACTTTCAGTGCAACATTCATGCACAGCATTTCACAAACTAACCATTCAAATATACATCTGCACTTTCAAAAGGTCACCAGGGAATAGATAATTATAACCACAACTGAAGTCACCCTAAGTTTTTCCAATGATTTATCTAACACTGATACACTTTTCATTAACAAAGAGCTTTATAGAATCCTAATTGCATTATTTTGTTTACTTGAACAGTAGAACTTTATGAGATTTGAAATTTTACATTCATATTGATTTCTGAAATTCAAATGGTAAACTAATACCAAGGCAATGTAATATTTTACTCAAAATATTTTAAATTTAGAATTTAGTTAGCTCTGGAGGTAAGGGGCGCAAATCCCTATCAGCCACATTGACCTTGACCTTGATATAGTAAAATTTGACAAATACCTCTTTTTCAAACGAATAAACTCCATTGCTTAAATTTGAGTGGCTGCCACAACCATTAAATAATAGAGAGTATGAGTTCCAAGAGCAAAAAATCCCTGATAAATCCCTGATTTTGAAGTTTTTAGTGAATTCCCAGATATTTCCCTGACTGGATATTTCCAACACATTTCCAGGTTTTCCAGTGGCAGTGGGAACCATGCTCTCATAACAAAGAATACGAGTTGAGTTAGTTGGTGTGGATTCCGACATACCAACTCTGCCATATGACCCATCTGGAACAGCAATTTGGATGTCTGTCTTGGCAATGATCTTGTCTCCTGCCGGGATCACATAGTCATAGGCACTGAAAACAGGGGATTCAATTACAATGAAGCTTTAACTGGTCTTTTGCTACAGCTCTGATCATGCTGATGGGTACGCAACAATGGGGCTAATTTAAACTGACTCTAGTCCTACAAAATTAGGCCAAAATTAATGTAACAGAAAGTTACTGACCAGGGGAGACAACTCGCATATCCCCTACTCTAACAAACTTGATGCAGACAGATATCATGGAAGAGAAATGGCAGTGTCAGCATGATAGACAGTAACATTGAATCCAATAGGTCTAAATTAAGTATGTATATATATTACCTCATTTTTGTATATATATATATATATATATGTAAAATATAAAAAGAAATTCCATATGTGCAATAGACCTCATTTTATGTATGTATGTATGTATGTATGTATGTATTTTGACTAGATGATGCTAAGAAAAAGAGAAAGAAAAAGTGTTGGCCATGCAGCATATATTAACTCTTAAAACTGTGCACAGTTTCGATCACAATCACAGTTGAGGGAATATGAATCATATTTTTTTTTCAATTTTTTTATTTAAATTTTACGCGGAAGACGATTTTTTCCGAGGACTACTGTTTTAAAAAACGCGATTTTCCGCGTTTCCGCGGAGATTTCACATCGCGGTATGATACAAGTTTTCAAAGTTTTTACCTGTACAAATCATAACCTGCTGCATATTTTGATCCTCTGGTTGGTGCACGGCCATTCTCTGTCAGTTTGGCAAACTGGAGCGTGACATTGTCTGTGGGCATTTTGCAGAACTGATTTGACGGAGGTCTTGACACGACTGCCCTCAACTTTGGCGCGAGAAGAATAACTCCAATTTGGCGCCAAAAGAGGCGCTGAACAATCATGTTTTGAGAGCGCACAGATAGGAACCCAGTCAAATTCTAAAAATAGAAACACATGCCTGAGAAGCCCCTAAAGCTGGGCCCCGTCTCTAATATCACAATATACGAGCCGGTACAGGCCAATGAGACGATGGCTGTGAACGCCTTCGAAATATTAGACATACACTATGTTAGGTAATGTTTCATTGGTCGCTATTTTTAGATGAACACTTACTCCGAATATCTAAGATAGATACGTCACTATCCATTACACTAAACAAGCAAACAGACCCCAACATAGCCCAAAACACCTCACTCGCATACATTCACGAGACTTGGCCAAATTGGTGTCACATCTACACAGACGGATCTTCAGATCAGATCTCCAATCACACAGGTTTCAGAGGACACGTCTCACAACCAAACCACAGAAGTTGGTGTGATGAAGTAAGACGACCTCTAGCTTGATAAAGGTGTTAGGATCTAACCCGAAATGTCGCACTGATTGTAATAAAGAAGTTGTTCATCCATAGAACTCGTCTTACTTTAAACCAAATCTTACCGACTCCCAAACAACCAATCCATATTTACAACCGAACTTATGGGCATGGCCACAACCCTCCACAGCCAACAAACTACAAACTACAAACCATCAAAACATCCTCATCCTAACAGACTCCCTCGGTGGTCTCCAGGCACTCCAAAATAACACCTTAAAAACCGCCCAAACATTAATTAACCAAACACTCAAAAGCACAAGCGAACTAACTAAAGCTGGGAAAAACATACAATTTCTTTGGATCCCTGCCCATGTAGGTATTTTCGGCAACGAAAAAGCAGACGAAGCAGATAAACTATCCCTTAAAATCCCAAATATAAGCCTTAACCTACCAATCTCTAAGTCTGAAATCAAAAGTACCACAAACAAAAAATCTAAAAGAAATTGCAAACAAACTTCCTAAACTCAGACTGTCAATTAAATTAGGAAAATATTAAAAAAACAACTTAACCAAACCAAAAGTACTACACCCCTCCAAAAACATAGACAGGGTCATAACAAAGCTCCAGACAGGCCACACAAAACTAAATAACCACCTTAAAAAACTTAAACGACACGCAACAAGAACCTGCCCAAACACTGCACCCAACAAGAAACCCCACAACACCCTCTTATACACTGCACTCACTACAAGACACAGAACAACTCTACAAACCACACTAAACCTACAGCAAGGACTAACTCTAGAGACAATCCTGAACCCATTAAATAACGTAATGCATTTCAAAGCTCTAGGCGTATACCTAATTAAAACAGATATATTAAACCGCATCTAAAAACCATCCAACTCACTCACCCACCCAAAACTACATAATCAAACAACCATACACCCCACACGGCTCTCTTAGTCCCTCCCCACCCTTGCATCCATACCAAATCTCCCAATTACAACATAAGCAACCCTTAAAAGTCCCATTCCGGGTTGCACCCCCCCCCCCCCCCCCCCCCCCCCCCCCGAAATACGCTCTCGGTCGGAAAGCGCACGTAAAATCTCCAATGTAAGTAAGTAAGTAAGCGATGTGTCACTATCTGGTGCAGGAAAGACCTTAAAACTTTAAATTGTACTCAATTGTAGGAAATTATATTTCCAATATTATTTTCTTCATGCATTTTACGTACATGATATCAATATGTAAGAGAAAAAAAAGTGAATATTGTCTAGCGTATTCTTTGCATGAACATTTCGTAGGTTTTCGAATACACCCCCAAATTGTGCTATGCGAGTAAAATATTTATTATACACTTGCCAGAAAACTTTGAGCGAATAAAATATTCTCAGGTATTTGAACGAGATACGCATGTGGGAAATTTGTATATGTCAATCTCATTAAAATCAGATCTTAGTTCTCGCTACCTCTAAACAAACTTTGTTTAGCGATAGCGAGAACTGAGGTCTGATTTTAATGAGATTGGTATAGTCGACATATGTAGAGCCACGCATAGATGTACAATATAAATGTCGCATAGAAGATATTCCTAACTTTGCCATTCCATGACGTCAAAATGTTTATGTTTACGTGGGTTGGTGTTCCATTTAAGGAATAAGGAATAACTCGTAATATATATATGATGTGACTCTTCTGACAAAATAGAAATGTATCGTACGAATAAGCTGAGCCCCGTCTCTAATATCACAAGTTGACGACGCGAATAGGAAGCCGGGAACCAGCTTAGGTGCGTAACTCTACCATTACTTCCGGTAAATATTAACATGCCTTTAGTAGTTTTGTGTGGTTTTCCATCAAGTGGCAAGACTAGGCGAACAAATGAATTGAAGAAACATGTAGAAACAAATTACCCCAACAAGAAAATTCACATTGTTAGCGACCATAACAATGGAGTTGAGAGAAATTCGGTTTATGCAGGTACAGTGACATTTTCAACAAAACATCATCATCAAAATACCAGTGTCGGAATCGTTATGAAAATGTTACGATGGTACCTTGAATAACCTAACACTGAATGTTTCCGTTATTATTACCATGACAACACGTTGATATTGTGCTTACAGAGTCCAGGCGAGAGAAAGAGGTTCGGGGATCGCTAAAGTCAACAGCTCAGAGGTGTGTGCACGTCGTTTCCGCAGCCTGTCGCTAAGTGAAGCATCAATAAAATCATCTGTTCTATTCTGACACGAAATAAGGCTAGACTGTTTTGTTTGTTGTTTAACGCCTCACTCAGCAATATTCCAGCTATATGACTGTGGTCTGTAAATAATCGAGTCTGGACCAAACAATCCAGTGATTGACATCATGAGCATCGATTCATGCAATTGTGATACAATGACATGAATCAAGACAGTGAGCCTGACCACCCGATCCCGTTAGTTGTCTCTTACGACAAGCATAGTCGCCTTTTATGGCAAGCATGGGTTGCTGAAGACCCCGGCTCTTCGTGGGTCCAAGTCATTTGAGAAAAACCAAAGAAATTTGATATTGTGGTTGTTTTTAGATTTTGTCTCTCATAAGTATCTGGATACCAAGTTTTTTCTACTTAAATGGAAAAATGCCAAAAATAGATGTCCAATTAATCAAGTTACACTGTTCTTTCATGATGTTTCAGTCTTGTCACTAAAAAACATCATCTTTACCAGCTAAAAAAATATTTATAACAGTCTTATAATGTGGTCATGATTTGATTGTAAAAAAAGTTCAGAAAGGGCTTTGATTGGTTGTTGAATTCAAGTTCATGAGCAGGTGTCTGTGAGTGAGTTGGGTTTTAACATCAGAGCTCGAGACAAACTGTGTATTTGCGTAAAATACGCTTTAAATAAACTGAAATACACAGACAAATAAAATCCTAGCATATCAAATACGCAACAAAAACTATAAATACGCTATTGAAATAAGCATATATTACAACTATTAGATAAAACAGTTGCGTATATAACAACTGTTAGATAACATGATTGTGTATCAGCCAATCACAAAATTCACTTACCAACAGATACATTCCGAAAATGTTGTGCGATAATAATACTTATAGATGCCATTTGAAAAGCACATCGTGCCTAGTCTATGTATATGTTGTATTTTAAACAGTCGTGGATTGGTGATTAAAAGAATACCGCCTTTCTTACTACCAGGTATGTTAAGTTTTGCGAACAAAAATGTTCTTTCCAGAGAGGAAGCTGCAAGCAGATGCAGACAGATACCCTACATTTCATGGATCGATGCTCATGATATTAATCACTGGATTGTCTGGTCCAGACTCGATTATTTACAGACCGCTGTCATATAGCTGGAATAATGCTGATTGTGGTGTTAAACAACAAACAAACAAACAAAATCATAGGTGGAACTAAATGAATTCCTTAGTGAAACACAAGCCGGGTTTAGGCCCGGCTATTCTACAACCGAAAATATATTTACGTTACAAGCTCTGTGTTCTAAAAATCAATATGTTGGCACCAAAAAAACGTTTTTACTGCGGCTTCTTAGACTTTAAGATAGTCTGTCTTACAGACCCTGATATATCAAATACAGCCCATGCAAGTCTATAATGTTTGGCAAGTCTAGATTACCGTTTCTGAAAATGAAGAGAGTCACTGGGCTCCCTTTTATTATATTTTTTATTAAGATAACTGAACAACTTTTTTTTTTTGTACGATATGTTCATTTCAGAGACTAGATGTTACTCTAACTTAAAGAAGGCATTCGACCTGTTCGAGGTTAAACAACAAACAAACAAAAACAAAACATACTCAGGGATGATGCTTGTGATTCCGTACTGACACATTTTGTCTTTTCAGATTACTGAACAAAGAGGACGTCGTCATACTGGACTCCTTGAACTACATAAAGGGTAGGTTGGGGCGAACAACACGGAAACTGAACTGTTTCATGCTTCGATTCATTTTGTTAATAATGTGTGAGGTGAGATTGGTTTGTTGTTTAACGCCGCACACAATATACCAGCTGTATGACGGCAGTCTGTAAATGATCGAGTCTGGAGCAGACAATCCAGTGATTGATATCATGAGCATCTATCCACGCGATTGGGATACGATGACTTACATCAACCAAGTCAGCAAGCCTGACCACCTGTCCTGTTAGCCGCCTCTTACAACAAGCATAGTCGCCTTTTACAGCAAGCATGCGTTTCTGAAAATCTATTCTACCCCAGATCTTCATGGGGTAAAAAAGGAGATCAAATCATACTGGTTTTATCATGAAATACAATGTTTACAGGAATGCATAGCCAAATTTTATATAGATAAAAATACAATCTCACCAAACTAGGCACATCAGGCCAGGCCAGGCCACGTGAGTCCGCTGCTAGACGGCTGGTATGAGGTGTTTAGAAACAGCTGCCAGTCAGTTCATGTCTGTGTCCGCTTCTAGACTGCTGGTATGAGGTGTTTAGAAACAGCCGCCAGTCAGTTCATGTCTGTGTCCGCTTCTAGACGGCTGGTATGAGGTGTTTAGAAACAGCTGCCAGTCAGTTCATGTCTGTGTCCGCTTCTAGACTGCTGGTATGAGGTGTTTAGAAACAGCCGCCAGTCAGTTCATGTCTGTGTCCGCTTCTAGACGGCTGGTATGAGGTGTTTAGAAACAGCTGCCAATCAGTTCATGTCTGTGTCCGCTTCTAGACTGCTGGTATGAGGTGTTTAGAAACAGCCGCCAGTCAGTTCATGTCTGTGTCCGCTTCTAGACGGCTGGTATGAGGTGTTTAGAAACAGCTGCCAGTCAGTTCATGTCTGTGACCACTCTGGCATGTTTTCTTGCATTTAACAGGTTTAAAATACAAATGTGAGAGTTTTTTCATAAACTTTGCCTGAGATGTTGTTTCTTGAGTGTTATTACCATTGGGTGTTTCAGGTTTCCGATATGAGCTGTTCTGCGTCACGAAGGCCTGCCACACACCGCACTGTGTTGTAAGTGAAATGGCGATACTTTCAATTATTAATTGTTTGGCTAAAAAAAAGTCTTGGTTCTCAGGCTCTGCCTGCATCATCATTAAGTCTGTTGCATGTTTCGTTTTTATTTCCATTTAAAAAATAAAATAAAAATCCTTATACTTTAAAATATGTGATCCATTATAGCATGCAATTCCTTTCCCTTGACATGCACACTGGTTTACTGTGCATCTCGTGTCATGGTCATGGCGGCAATAGGAGTTTGTATGATTCTTTATGTAGGGAGGCCCTTTCCCAGGTTGATGGTTACATACTAGTTTGAACAAGCAAAGCCCCAGCTAAAGTCTAAAGTCTTTGCCTGAGAACAAATGCTTTCATTTTTTTAAGCCATAATAGTGAGAGAGTGAGTGAGTATGGTTTTACGACGCTTTTAGCAATATCCCAGCAATATTGCGGCACCCTTGACATATAAAAAAAAATGCTAATAGATATGAAAATAATTTATGTTTGTTTGTTATATTTTTTAAACTACAACATGATTAAAATTGGGGGGAAGGGGGGCGGGGGATGCACTTCCCTGCACCCCCACTCTGCATCTGTGTATGATACAATCCTCACCTAAGCAGTTCTAACTCGCCTCTAACATGTCTACATGTTGTTGAATGTCAAAAACTAAATGAAATTCATTTTCAGATATTCTGTGATATCAGCTCGGAGCGTGCGTCAGAGTTCAATCTGCAGCGAGATGAGCAGGACAGATACACTCAGGACATGTGAGTCTCCTACAGTGTTACTAAGCTGTTGACACATCGGCCGCCAAAATGGGCAAATGTCAAATATTATTGCAGCAAATTCAGAAGGATCAAAATGCCTGTACTCATGATTTAAGTTTTATTCCACATTTTTAAGAATTGGTTCGAAAACAAAAGTCTTATGTCTATGGTTTGTTTATTTGTTTATTTGTTTGTTTGTTTGTTTACATTGCACTCAGCAATATGATGACAACCTGTAAATAATTGAGTCTTGACAAGGCTATCCAGTGATTGAGATTGTGTACAACATCGACGCCGTTTGGAGTTGGATGACACGATCAAGTTCAAAAGTCTGACCACCCGATCCACATCGATATGTTTGCCTCTCATAATCTGACGTTCCCCTGGACCAGTGAAGATCCGGGTAGGAATAGGTCTTCAGCAACCCATGATTGCCGTAAATGGGGACTATGCTTGTCGTAAGAGGCGACTAAAGGGGTGGTCAGGCTCGCTGACTTGGTTGATGCATGTCATGGATCCTTAATGCGTGGATCGATGCTCATGATGTCAGTCACTGCATTGTCTGTATTTTCAGACCAGCGTCATATAGCTGGGATATTGCTGAGTGAGGCGTTAAACAACAAACAGACAAAGTATCGTCAGTCTGTATCATGATACGAATTGTATCGATACAGGCAATACTCAGCTGTAATATCCAATAATAGTTTGTCTAGCCCAGGTGTTATTGTATGTTAAAGCTGCTGGTGAATGTTTCATGGCTCAATGGTATGTTCCAGCTTTGATGGGCTGGTGATGAGGTTTGAGTCCCCCAACTCCAGCACAAGATGGGACAGCCCTCTGTTTGTTGTCCAAGTGGAAGACGACCTCCCCACTGTACAAATCTGCCAGGCGCTGTTTGACCGGAAGCCACCGCCCCCAAACCAGTCAACACAGTCGGTAAGTGTGCCAAACACATTCTCAGATTGTTTGTTTATTTGTTTGTGTTTTAATGCTGCACTCAACAATATTCCAGCTATATGACAGCGGTCTGTAAATAATCAAGTCTGGACTAGACAATCCTGTGATTGACATCATGAGCATCGAACCACGCAAGTTGGTTTGATGACATGCATTAACCAAGTCAGAGAACCTGACCTCCCGATCATGTAGGTCACCTTTTACAGCAAGCATGGGTTGCTATTCCACCCCGGACCTTCACGGGTCTTCTCCGATTGACTTTACTGTTTGTGGACCTCCTGTATTCACCGTAGTAAGTGCTCTGCTCCAGCAAGTGATTCCTGACCAAATTCTAGACCGATGTAAGTAATATTTATTTATTAGTGCCCCCTATGAAGACCACTCACTCACACAGGGGCTGCAATTTGCGATGCTCATGATGTCAATCACTGGATTGTCTGGTCCAGACTCGATTATTAACAGATTGCAGTCATATAGCTGGAATATTGCTGAGTGCGGCTTAAACAACAAACAAACAAACGTTATGACTAAAATTCTCTTTAAAGCAGCGTTAAACCCAACCCACTCACTTGCTCACTGTTCCAGCAACCTCTCTCCTCCACTAACTTCCTGTATGAACTGGACCGCATCACCCAGGAAACACTCACTGTAAGTAACCATGACAACACAAATATTTACCCAGAAACGAAGAGACCTTTTCTATGGAATGTGTACTCAATTAGTAAAGAAGTTTGAATTGTCTCTTTTTGCAATTAGAATGGAATATGAATGTCACTGAACTTGACTTGTATTGAAATAACCTGTGTGTGATGAAAAAACCTTACAGCTCATTGTTACTCAAAAAGTAAAAGTATAAAATTGTAGAATAATTAAATTTAGTTTGGTTAAAATTTTGTCATGAACATTTACTTCAAGTCTCCATTATTGAATAATTGAATCAGGTCACTTCACCTTGTAGTCTTCTACATCAAACTGCCTGAAATTGTCTTTTGGCATCATTTTAGTAGGTTTAAGCATGAATATATGGAGCTATAAGACCAAAGACAATTTGACTAAACTCAGGCTTCTGACTAGAGGGCGGTCGGGTAGCCTTGTGGTTAAAGCGTTCGCTCGTTACGCCGAAGACCCGGGTTCGATTCCCGACATGGGCACAATGTGTGAAGCCCATTTCTGGTGTCCCCCGCCGTGATATTGCTGGAATATTGCTAAAAGCGGCGTAAAACCATACTCACTCACTCACTTCTGACTAGATGCTAAAGCCTTGGGCTGCTTCGAGGTATTGTGTCATTGTGTAAACCTGTATCATTCCTCCATGTCAGAATGACGAGATCTGATTGGTCCATGTGACCTTGATAAAATACTGTGTAACCCCCCTTGGAGGGGAATAAATTTCTCAGTGAGCAAATTATACCCCACCATGAGCAAATCAGGCTGCATGCTTTAAAGCAAAGAGCTGCTCGATTTTTCCGAGACAATGGAAGTCACGTGACATAGCACAAGTTTACCTCAGCTCAATCGAACACCTGTTTTCTATCAATTTTGAAGTTGTTTAAATTGTTTTACAATATAATAAAACATGTCGGTAAGATAAATTCGTTGTAGCAGGATCACTCGGGGTACATGGAGTTTCATGCGTCCCACGTTAGGTTTTAACCCCTCGCCTCCGCGGGACACGTAAACCCCATGTTCCCCTCGTGATCCTGCTTCAACTCATGGTATTGACATCAGGAAGACTTTCCCCACTCTGGGAAAACACAAGATTAATGGAGAGTTTCTGATTTTCAGGCCATGATGGAAGCACAGAAGATGGGTCTGCCTGGAGACAAGATCACCATCCCCGGCGCCACGGAGAAAGTATCCTTCCTGTTCCATCATCACCAATATCTCTTTCAGATGGAGATTCACACTCGGTACTACTCCAGCTGTATGATGGCTGCAACCAGACAATCCAGTGATTGGAATTTCAGGCAAATATCAGTGTGCGATATATAGAGAATCTCACCCGAGTGTCTTTTGATATCAAATATATCAACACGAGTTGATAAAAGTGGAAAAACTCCAAGACTTTCCAAGGATTTTTTTTTACTTTTATCAACGAGTGTTGATATATTTGATATCAAAAGACACGAGGGAGAGATTTTATTTATCATCCAACATCATTCTTCCAACTTTTTCAGTTTGTAGAAAGTAATAAGCAGTGTCTTAAGTGTAAAAAGTACTGCTAACAGCTTCAGTAGCAGAGCCATTAGTGATGTCATTTGATTGTGATGTCATGGTAACCAATGACGTCATAATGGTCTGCAAAGCATTGTGATGCAATTTCATTGCAGCGATATCTACACCCATTTCTGGTGTACCCCGCCGTGATATTGCTGGAATATTGCTTAAAGCGGCGTAAAATCAAACTCACTCACTCACTTATATCCTTGAACCCAGTGGGACCTCATACTGGTCTAGTGTAATGCTGATAGCTCTGAACATACAGATCAGAGGTTTTACCGCAATGTCCTAGAATTACTTTTGATCAATGTCTGATTAGTTATGGAGTGATTCTGTGATCAATTTAGGTGACATACAGGCGATTGTAAGACAAATTCTATTTGAGATCGTATATGAATTCAAAATATCTCACCAAAATTGGAATGGTTTGATTTCCTTATTAAGGCCAGATAGAGCTAACAAGAACGATAACTCTGTCGGAGTTGCATCGGCAGCGACGTCAGTTCATCACATACACCAAGATGCACCCAGTGGAGGATACAGCGCGACTAGCAAACATGTTCGTACAATACCTCAACAACAGTCTCAGGTGACCCCAGCCTTTCTCACGAAGATGTGACTGTCTAAATTTTATTTGTAAATATAATTTGTAAATAAAATTTTCTTTTAGAAAGTGAGAATATGTCTTGTCATTTGCCAGTTTTCACTTCTGTTTGTTCATGTGTAGTGTGTTTGTGGCTTTTGTTTGTTTTATAAATCTTAATTCAGCTATATGACGACGCTCTGGACCAGATAATCCAGGGATTGATACCATGAGCATTGATCTACACATTTGTGATATGATGACATACATCAACCAAGTCAGGGAGCCTGACCCCCGATCCCATTGGTTGCCTCTAACGACAGGCATAGTCGACGGCAAGCATGGGTTGCGGAAGACCTATTCTCTACCATCTTCATGGGTCTATTTTGCGATTGAAAAGGCATCACCATGGCAACTGAAGGACATGTGCAGAATGATATCAAAATCAGACAACAGATGTTACTTACATTTCAGTGGGGTACGCCAGAAACCTATGATTGTGGGTTTGAATCCCGGTTCACCCCAATTATGTTTCTAGGTTTGTCAGCACCATACCGTGCTCGTGCTCGTGGGTTTCACCAAAGTGGTAAACGTCTAAGACTTGCATCACTTCGGGCTTTCCTCCCACATTAAGCTGACACGCCGTGATATAACTGGAATACTGTTAAAGCGGCGTTAAACCCAACTCACTCACTACATTTCAGTGGGATCGAACCTGGAAGTCGTACTCGCGGATAAGACACTGTGCTTTTAAGAATCTCTTTTTCAAGTACATGCCCGCCAACAAGTGATATTTTACGTCCGTTTCCTGGGGTTAATAGAAAGATGGAAACACGAAATCGAAATATTCTGTTTCAGATTTTAATTTCGGTTTATCAGTTGGCTAAAAGCGGATTGACAGAATAAGCCTCGGGGATGGCTCGTCCCAATGTCCAGGTTCCCCCAGTCTGGTGCCCTGGGTAGCCGGATCACCTTTAAAATGAACCCTTTGCCACAATGTTGAAACAGAAACAGAAGATTACGTTGTGTTTCTAACGCTGGATATGTGGAGGACAAATAACATTTTCTGTTAGTTTGCTCCGGTTATAATAAGCTACGGGTGGATCACGTACCAAAGAAATATTGAGAATATTCAACTATACAAATAGTAAATATTATGTCTACAACTGATCGTAAATTAATTATACTTCTAGCTGTAGACTATATCTATATCTATCAAGCGATGTCACTTCGTAGTACATTATTGTCAGAACAATAACAGCTGTGTACATCACATCCATCGTAATACAAATGTAACCATGGGCCGATGGCCGACACATACGAAATGAAACGCATTGAAATTTGGCCAGTTTCGCAAATATTGATTTGAACAAAGTGCTCATCCACATGAACACATCCCACAACTTTCATAGCAATTTCTAAAGGTACTGCATAATTCCTAACTTATTCAGACCCTGTGGCATAAAAAGGCCATTATCACAACTCGTCCTTTCAAGGCATCGATGACGTCACAAGCTTTCGTGCCACCTAGAACCGCCCGGTTAGCAGAATGTGAAACAAAGGGAAATCTAATATGTTATTTCGTAGATATTCATAAAACTAAATATTTAATTAAATAGGTGTACAGTTTGCCAAGTGGAATGTTTGTTTTTTTTCAAATTTAGGATTGAGAGAAGTAGATATTTATCAACTTTAAAGTATCAATACGCAGTTTAAAGTGCGAAATAATCCAATTTTACAACATGTATCAGCCAAACAGATTTCTACGGAAACCCATCAGGGCTATGCCATGTTTATACTTGTCATGAAAGTCAAGAAACCGCGTTTAAACGTTCAAGTTCTTATCTTAAAAAGTCAACTTATTAAGTTGAAAATTCAAGATAAAAAACTGAATTCAGGAAATTAATTTCTGTAAGCTTGACTTTCTACTTTGAGATGATATTGTTGCCGGGTAACTTGAATTTTCATGGTAATAAATATTTTTTTGTCCCTAAAGTGCTTCCGTAGATTGCAGCACAGCATCACATTTGTTTTACAAGGATTGCTAAATCTAGCCTGGTCATAGTGTCCAGCGATCGTTGACCATTCACTGTACATTTATGCTATATACGGTGGACATCATACATTGTTTGGGTGGAAAACCCGAAGTGATGCAGGTCACAGACGTTTATTACTTTGGTAAAACCCACGGGAATTGTGCTGGCGTACCTAGAAACATATTCGGAGCGAAATGGGATTCGAACCCGCGATCATAGGTTTCTGGCGTGCCCAAGGGACGCAACTCTCTATAGACTGTACTCTGTGAGAGATTTAAAATCAGATTTTAATACACCCTGGAAGTTAAAAAAATACAATGAATAAATGAAAATTTATACAACGCAAATATGCTTCACTGAAATTTCATGCATACATTCGTAATACGTCAGAATCGTTATCTTCGTGCTCCGATACCTGTGCTGCGTTTGAACTCGCCCGTATATTCGTACTGCACGCGCAATCTGTGCGGTTTGATCGCCGTAGCCAGCACATCCGTCATGCACGTGATTATAACTAATGAATGAGCCTAACATTTGTATTGCAGAAAGTAGGTCACTAAACTGTCAGTTCATTACAAATAATCTACACTTGAACAATAGAGTGACGTCTAAGCTGTATTTTAATTTCAGTTTTCAGTTTTTATCACGCCGCTACCCTCTCTTCGATCAATGGGTCTGTACTGACCGACCGCGGGTGTAACGGGTCCCCAGAGACTAGCTCGCTCCCCCAGAATGCAGTTCATTCATTCCCCCGGTACTACCGTATTGATAGAGGAAAAACTCTTGACCTTGGCATGATTTCATGACATATTTTGTTTCTTTCCTTAATCGATGTTAATCTTTTAGAACAACAAGTAAAATATCGACAAATGTGTATTTTTCTCTTCTACCGAGCAAACAATTTCTACCCAAGTTGTGGTAAACTAATTAAATTAATTTCTACCTCAACAAATAAAGTAAACGTTGCTGTGGTTGTTTGTTTTATTTACAAATAAATCCATATTAATTTAGATAAAGAAATGAAAGATCTATATATTGCTAAAATATTTTGCCATATTTTCAATTTATTCATTCGTAACAATTGAATAGTTTTATTCTTTCACATTCCATGCACACTATTTTTTAAAGGAATTACCCTTGCCAAGTACACGTGGGACTGATTTGTTTTCCCGCGACTGAATCGTACATTCAGTGTATATATGGCTGTCGTTTTATTAATGTTCTTTGTGGTTATTTCATTTACGTGTGTATGTTTATGAGCGTAAAGTCTAAAACACACTATAACAAGTGCATCCGACGGGTATCGATCCACCCTGATTCGCCTACAGTGGGACATTGTCATGTGAAACAACGTCATCGATCTCAGTTCACCACACTGCAAGACATTGGGCGACCAAACACGCCTACAGACAGCAGGGAGATTTAAGATGTTATTCCCATGTAGCGTTATTACTGGTTAATATTTAACTGAGAGACTCCTCAGTTAATCATATTTGCACCAGGACGTGTATGAGTTGATAAAGAGGATATGACATATGGTACTGTAAAACAAGAAGTGTTTGTGAAAGCAGTAAGAACACGCTTCACAAAGAATGACAATACGGGACAAAGGAAAGTGACACCCATGTTTGATGTGGGCCCAAAATGAAACAAACAAGAAATGGTTATTCTATGGTGATGTATTTAATATGGGTATCATAGTTATGTTTTGGATCTTAAGTTTGCAGTGTTTCGGCGACAGTTTTCATTCTAGTAACGTTTGTAATTTTTGGTCAAATCCAATTTTCAAGTGTATACTTTCTTTTGTCCGGCAGTTTAGCTAAGGGGTTCGAGTGTCAGCAAATGAGATGGTTAGCTATCGGCAGGGTGGACCAGACAATTGTTTTGGGATCCATGGATATTAGCGGTACGACTAAAGTAAGAGTATGTTCAAGAATAGGACCGGCTTCACAAAGGTATCTTAAGGGAGGATCAGGACACAGTTTTACAGGACACCCAGGAAACCTTTTTCTGTTAAACCAGGGGACGTTTTTTCCAGCATTTTCTTGGACAAATATCCATCACCCCTTCTACGCAAAGAATGGCTCGGTCTCCAAGACGTGAGTTGAGGTGAAATGGGGTTTAACGTCGCACGCAAGATTATTGCACTGCTACAGCGACGTGCATGCACGTGATTGCTTGTACTAGTCCGAATTATTGCCGATTTATAGTGCTAGCTCACTGAGATACCATGCCCCAGTTTAACATGGATACCCCACTCAGACACAGCCGACCCGTCCTTGTTTTAGCCCCTTAATGCCGAGCGCCAGGCAAATAACAAGTATCATCTTTTAACTTCTCTTGGTATGACGCGGGCGGAGAACGAACCCCGACCTTGCATACTGCGGATAGCACTCTATCCACTAGGCCACGGAGGCGGTGTCACCAACGTCATGACACGTGGCTGCTGTGCAGTGTAGTCGTAACGTGTCTTATGTTGATATAATATGAGGCCGTGTATGACTCAAGGAAGTCAAGTGGCACGGGTTGCCCAGTTGTCTAAGGCGCCACAATTCGCTGTGCAGAGTTGCGTCAGAAACCTATGATTGTAGGTTCGAATCTACAGTCCGCCCCGATTATGTCTCTAGGTTTATCAGCACCATACCCATGCTCGTGGGTTTCACCAAAGTGGTAAACGTCTGAGACCTGCATCACTGCGGGCTTTACTCCTACATCAAGCAGACACGACGTTATATAACTGAATATTGTGCTTTGTTTGTTTGTTTGTTTGTTGTTTAACGCCGCACTCAGCAATATTCCAGCTATATGACGGCGGTCTGTAAATAATCGAGTCTGGACCAGACAATCCAGTGATTGATATCATGAGCATCGATCCACGCAAATGGGATCGATGACATGCATCAACCAAGTCAGCGAGCCTGACCACCCGATCCCGTTAGTCGCCTTTTACGACATGCATAGTCACCTTTTACGGCAAGCATGGGTTGCTGAAGACCTATTCTACCCCGGAATCTTCATAGGTCCTGAATATTGTGACGAATACGGCACGAACAT